GAGCTCAACAATTATGATTTTTAATGAACTCTCTTGGCGGCCGCCTCTATTGAATGAAGTTCCAAGTTGAACAGTACTACGCCCAATCACTTGTAATGGAAAGTGGCATCCTAAAGGTTACACGATGAATGATTCGGCAATAGCTATTCTACAACTACAGCGTTGAGCAGTCTAGCTCCACATTCGACAGACAAATGCTTTGATTCCCTTGTCGTCATCAGCATCAGCATCATAATCATCATCATCATCATTCTTCCACCAGAAGCAAGCATCAGGATGACGTGGAGAGGGCCATTTTAGGGATCCACACCTGGGGTATAGGCATTTAATCATCCCTCATTTTTGTTTTCCGGTTGCTGTAGGCCTCTGTAGAAGGTTGGGAGCTGACTTTCAGACGAGATGTTGTTAAGCAGATGAGTTTGACATGTCCAGAGGCCTTTCCATCTTTGCTACAGACCCGTCTTCGCTGGGGCCAGTATGGATCATTCAGGCGCCAGGAACATCGACTACCCTCGTCCGCATCGAGATACTCGCAAATGTATCGACTCATCAAGCACACATTTACAATCAGCATGTCCATTTGCATATTCAGGCTGTAAGCCTGTAACAAGGGTCTACTAATGGCTACCATTTGAGGCCGAAACAAATAGAGCAGACTATCATGCCGTTAATGTTCGAGCTGCCGATATGGAATTTAAGCAAAGACCGGATGATGATTTTTGACGTCAACGCGGCTATGCATCCTCCAAGTAGGGAGTGCAGATTTCGCCCCATTTTACGAATATGCATAGAATCCTATTCCAGTTGTTGAAGAAACTAAAGTCTCGCTATAGTCCTCCACTACACAATCTAAGATGCCCGTGAATAACAGGCCAGAGATGGCAATCAAGGAAAATCAGGACTCTCAGAAATCATATTTACAGAGAGATTACTGATGAAACAAACATGTATTTGCCTTTATAATCAAGTACTTTACTTATTTTCGATGTCAGTAGTTATCAAGACTATCAGTAATTTTGGCTTGGCCTAGGTATCTGCTCATATGAGTTTCGAAAAATTCGACCACCAGTCTCGCATCACCTTCATGAAATAGGCTAAATAGTTGTGATATGGGATCTACAAGTACTCTCGAAAACCTACTTAGCAACGAAAAATAAGTAACATAGTCGATTCTTTAAAACTGACATCTGTCCTGTTACCCAATGGAGTTCTGGTGCAATGGTTGTGTATCGAGATTTAATTTACACTTTCATGGTTCGAGTCCCGTTTGGGGTACTAATGAGACCAGTCGAGGCGAGGTTAAAACCGCAATCCACCTCTGCCTAGATGGGAATACCTATTAAGAAATAAAGGCAGGTTGTACTCATATCACTGTGGGAAAATTTAACTAATCTTCGTAACGAAATAGAGTGAAAACATCTTATGTATTTATATGAGGTGTAGTCTCAAAACTCTACTTTTATGCGAAAAATCTCGTGTATTTGCCTTTACAAAAGAATAATAGTTGAATTGTTCTATAATCCGATTAGTAGGCCTCAGGATGCCATTGAATTTGCCTTAGCCTTCCCGCCCTAAATGCTATTCCATCCCGGCTGAACTGTGATCCACGGCAGTCTTCACCTGAATGTGAAACCGACTACCCATGGTCCACAGGGTAGATGCTACCTTCAAGTCAAACCAGTCCGAAAAAGAATACATTGTGGACATAGTGTTTCAATTTCAGTACAAACCGGATGACTTCCACCATCAGAGCTGAACAATATTTTGGTGCATATTGACACCATTCGAGGCGACACTTTGAATGCTTTGGATGGAGATGAAAGTTAAGCACGAGGAAGCCTCAATTTTATGCAACTTATCTCATTATTTAACACAATTGAATGATTACTAACCCACACGAAAATACGAATTGACTCACTTGCTGTGAAGGGTAAGTCATTTGCCTGGCGTGAAACCACTTTAAGACCGAATAATTTCAGAACTAACAAATAACTGCAATACACGTTTTGCCAGAGTTCAGACGGTGATTTGGTTCAAAGTTAGGATGTACAATATGGAAAATGAAGCAAAATCACGAAAAGAATATATCTGCTATTCCATTAAATCCAATTAAGATATATTTGAGTGTATTTGAATCTCATACATATTGCCCATTTACCTTTGTTCCCTTTTAAACCTTCTCACCCCATCCCTTGACAATCCATTCAATTAATTCTCTCCTAGAATATAATATTAATTACTTAAGGCCAAATCTACCTTTCCTTGATAGTCTCGCATATTCACATATTTTATTCTGTCTCACCTATCCTGTTATAGCTCATTATATTCAATTGCCTGTTTCAATCTATTTCCCGATTTTCTGTCCTATTCTTCTCTTCTGCTCCATTTCCGCTTGCCTATCGTCTCGATTCTACCACGATTCCGTTTATTTTATCTCTCCAAAATACAATCTTGTGCCTTTCATTCAGTATGAAGTTGGCTGAGCGACAGCATTTCGAGGCGACCTCGTGGTCAGATGGTTCGTGCTGCACTTTCTCAGTTTGGAAAGGATGCCTTCCTACCTGGTTGCCCAGGCAGCAAACTCCGACAAAACATGTGCCCCCTCCGGTGAAAATGTGCTTGCATTCCCTGTGCGGAGTGGAGGGCAAGTTGACGCGACATGATTCTGATAACTCACATTAACCCAGACTCGGATCAAATGAAGTTAACTTCTTGGCCTTCTTCTACAAGCTGATCCGGTCAGAATAGCTGCGCCAACCTTATCTGGGGTCTTTGGGTCGAGCTTGTTGCCTATGGTTGCATAAACTTGGTCCTCTCAGATTCCAGAAAGAGTAGACGCCGAGTGTTGGGAGAAGCTTCAACCGTCTCCTTCGCTGTTCATCTGCCAGTTGATCGACCTGAAACAATTCTTGCATAACATGCAGCACTCCAGTGTGTTGTCAAGAGCTCTTTTGCCTTCATGACCTCCCAGATCTTTGGTATTGCCATGTCGACAGGACGCTGAGTCTTCTAATGGATGAGCTCACATTATCTATTCCCCGACTGCTCTGATAATCCCGATCAAACTAAACCTTCAATCATTACAGACTGTCTTGAGATCTGTCGACAAGTCTTCTGACAGCACTTCGACCCCAAGTCTGGTATGGCAGCCAGATTTGGACAAAGAGTTAAGGTATTTTTTAACTGCTGTCATAACAACGGACAATTTAGAATTCCCATAGTGATGGAGGCATCAGATTGGATCACCAGCGCATACATTTATGACATGCAAAAGCAGAGTCAACCAAACAAATCACAATGAGTTCTGAGGATGATTCTCTGTCCTCAAACAGCATGTCAATACACATTCACCGGAAGCAGAACATGTCGCGTGGGGAACTGCTGCCTTGACAGCAAGATCTGAAAAGGACACATGCAGCAGCCTGTCGAATATCGCCAATTGTCCGTCTCCTTCGGTCCACTTTGCACGGCGAAAATGCTACACAAACTGTCGGATCGCGAGGTCATCTTGACGTCGCGCCATTCAGCAAACTGGAAATTTCCTGAAAGGTCTTAGAATTAGACCTGGAAATGTGGAATATGAGAGGCCTGGTTTGCCGTGAAAAGCATTTTTGCTTTATGACCCGCTGAGGCGGGTTGATCAGATTTGTAGGTCGATCTGACGAGATGAACTCCGGCTGATAAATTGCTGCCAAACAGTTCTTGACCGACATCGCCAGATATGAATTTTATGCTTACAAAAACTTTAGGCAAACCCTAAGTCGCCGCCTACTAACATGCTGCATAATCTGGAAGCAATACAAAATAACAGAACAAAAGGCGAAATAGAATGACTTGATCAGCTCCTTTTAATGCCAGTTTAGTAAAGGGAATGTTTGGTTGGAAGGAATTCATGAAATGGTCTCACCGGAATCCGAGGTAGGATTGTCGCGGAGTGAAGACTGTTAGACTGTACGAAGAAGTCCTCGGCTCACCATCCTGCGACACCGATGAGCCTGACCTTTCGTTTGTGCCACCGTGACAGACAGCTTAAGAGCAGGAATCCATACTTTATGAAATAGCGAGAAACGGTTTAGTATATTCTTACGCTATTACGTAAAGGTATGTATTCTTACTCGGAAGATGTCTGTCACGGCGGTACAAACGATAGCTTAGCATAGGCTTCTCTATGTCGCAGGACGGTGGGCTCAGAACTTATTCATACAATCTAATAGTCCTCACTCCACGGAAATGATACTTCGGTTTCCGATGAGACCATTATATGAATTCCTTCCAAACAAAATTATGCCTTAGAAATAAGTAGATGAGGAATTGTTTGAAAACTATTTTTTCTTCATATTCTATGCAAGTGTCTGTTTGTGCGTGTGTTTGTATATACGCGTAGATGTACATGTTTAAGTCATGGTATGAAACCACGGGCGTACAACGAAGCGTAATATCAAGGCATGCTGACTCAATTAAAGCATGACGGCAAATGCGTCGTCCAGAATGATTGTTTGGTTGAATTGATGAGCCTAGCAAATGTGTGTAACAAAGATGAATTTGGTTAGAAACGTCTATCAATAATGTCTGCCTATCTATCGAGTAGTTCTTAGGTAATCTCCCAATAGTAGTGCTTGCATTAATTGCGTTTCCAAAGTTAGTAATTTCATAATATTAACGAAATTTTGGATTTCAAGAAATCTCATGGACTGTAATTGTGAGTGAAACTGTGAGATGGAAAGAGTGAAAGCTCGTTTCCACCACGTTCAGAGCATATATACGACATATGGGATAAGCTGAAGAGTTTTATCGACTCATTAATTTCAATATGCTTGAGATGATACCCTGAGCTGATAATATCTCTAATTTGACGACAAAAATAGTTTTCGGGACTGTCAGAGCTTAGCACTTTTTCGTTGGAATCGAGGGAGATTGCATCAACAAGAATTTTCCAGTAAAACCAATCGTCAATTGGCCAAGGATAATCTACCCTCATCTTCACTAGAAATGCAAGTGAGTTCAAATAGTGATTACACTATCCATCACTATCATAATTCTGGCAGCAGATGTACCAAATTCAGTATATCGGTGTTTTTATAACTTTCCTATTCATGACCGATTGCTGCTCTGATGGTATCTCGAGGCCTATTCATATCATCCTGAGAAAGGTCAACCATTAGTTCTTCTTCAGTTTATGCAAACTAGGAAGCTACAGCCCCTACTTTTAATAATTCGTTTACCTTATTGCTCCACAAGCACCTCACTCTCTCCATATCAAAGGAGCCTAACTTCAATTAATAATTTAATATATCATTGTTGACTACCTTCAATTCAAATAAAAATGAATGATGAAGAGATTCTAAGGTCGATTGCCTTAGGCGACAAGGGCAGATTTCATTTGGTCTGCTTTAGTTTGGTTTCATTTAGGCGGTCAGGTTGGCATAGTTCTTCAGACATCCTCTTTTGTTTCCTATGCCAACTAGATATGTTATTATAACCATCTTTAGCCTACAAAGTATACAGAAAACTACGTAAATTGTTTGGGCTCAACTAATATCTTCTACTCTGTCTCATAATAATGTCAAGCTTTCTATATTTTTATGCACATAAAGCTGATAAGCTCAGCCGAAAAAGATTACAGAATTACAT